CAAACAGAAACACTTGTTTCTAAGAAAAAATATGAGACTGCGTCCAATGATAAAAGCAGTCTGTGTTTTATAGAGGGAGGCATAAATCATGGTAGTTTCGCTCAGTGGATTAGGTAGCTGTTAAAAGGATTAGAAATGAAGAATTTGTACAAAACAAAATGTTTAATAGGTTAAGTGAAAAAATAGATGATATATTTATATCTATTCTGTTCACAAGTATGTAGAAGTATATATACATCTGGAGAGAAACAGAGAAAAATGAGAATTGTGGGAATACATGATTTACATTTTATTATAGTTTGTATTAATATTAAGCTCTTAAAAATAAGGAGAAATGCAAAGAATGTGTTCAACTCAAGAGCAAAAACAAAATAAAAAGATAAGGGACAAAAAGAACCAACCTACCTTTCATAAAATTATTTATTGAGTCCTGGAATTTTAGAGATGGGAAACCTCTCCTAACAGGTCTCAAAATTTTTGGTCTCAGGACCTCATTATACTGTAAAAATTATTGAGGACCCCAAAGAGTTTTTATTTATATGGGTTAAATCTGTCAATATTTCCATATTAGAAGTTAAAATTGAGACTGGGCATGGTGGCTTACGCCTGTAATCCCAGCACTTTGAGAGGCCAAGGTGGGTGGATCCCTTGAGGTCACAAGTTCAAGACTGGCCTGGCCAACATGGTGAAACCCCATCTGTACTAAAAATACAAAAATTAGCCGGGCGTGGTGGCGCACACCTGTAGTCCCAGGTACTTGGGAGCTGAGGCAGGAGAATTGCTTGAACCTGGGAGGTAGAGGTTGCAGTGAGCCAAAATCTAGCCACTGTATTCTAGACTGGGCAACAGAGCAAGACTCTGTCTCAAAAAAAAGAAAAAAAAGTTAAGAAATAAAAGAAAATTAAGTCACTTAAAATAACATTGATGAACCTATTATATGTTAATATAAATAACATTTTTATGAAAAATAACTATTTCAAAACAAAAATTTAGTGAGAAGAGTGCCATGGTTTTATATTTTTGCATATCTGTAATATTTGCCTCAATAGAAGACACATGGATTCCCATATTTGCTTATCCATTCAATCTGTTGTGATATGCTGTTTTGGTTAAAATTTGGAAGAAAATTTGGCCCCAGACAGCTATATAGTTGGGAAAGGGAGAGTCTTTTAATAGCCTTTTCAGATAATTGTGGCTTTGTCACATTGTCTCTGGAAAACCTCACTGTATACTTTTGAGAGAATGAGATTGAAAAAGACCAATAATGTCATAGTATTATTATGAAATACTCCAAAACTCCATGAAAATGTTTAAATACCTTCCAGGGGTCCCCTGATCACACTGAGAACTGCTATTTTAGCACTTGAAAGATGAGAAAACTGAAACTCAGAGATGTTCAGTGATTTTTTCCAAATTACTTGGTTGGTGGATGACGGAGTGCTTGGACATGGCTTTGCTAGGTTCATTCCTCGTGTTTTTGGAAAATGTCAGATATGATGTGACTTTAGGACAACGTTTGGAGATTGATCCTGAGTTTATTTATGAGAGTCTTCTGAGATACCAAAATCTAATTCTACCTTGTCATCTTGAAGATTTATGAAAAACTCCATGGCCGGGTGCAGTGGTTCACGCCTGTAATCCTAGCACTTTGGGAGGCGGAGGCAGGCAGATCATGAGGTCAGGAGATCGAGACCATCCTGGCCAACATGGTGAAACCCCGTCTTACTAAAAATACAAAAATTAGCTGGGTGTGGTGGCACGTGCCTGTAAACCCAGCTTCTTGGGAGGCCGAGGCATGAGAATTGCTTGACCCAGGGAGTCGGAGATTGCAGTGAGCCAAGATTGGGCCACTGCACTGCCCTCCAGCCTGGCGACAGAGTGAGACTCCGTCTCAAAAAAAAAAAAAAAAAACTCCATGGTAGGCAAATCAAAACTTTTTAGAGAAAGTAGTATTATAAAAAGGTAATTTTTAACACATGTAAGCTATCGAAATATTAAACTTTGTGAGCCAAGATCGCGCCACTGCACTCCAGCCTGGATGACGAAGCGAGACTCTGTCTCAAAAAAAAAAAAAAAAAGATTAAATTTATGACAAAGGATATGATACATTTAATTTTGTTTGCCACTTTTTACTAGCTAAAAGTTTTCTAGCATCTTCTTCTATCTCAATAATTTTATTATATGTATGTGTGTATATACATATATACACATATATATATTTTTATATATGTGTGTGTGTGTGTGTGTGTGTGTATATATATATATTTTTTTTTAGATGGAATCTCACTGTGTCACCCAGGCTGGAATGCAGTGGTGATATCTTGGCTCACTGCAACCTCCTGGGTTCAAGCAATTATCCTGCCTTAGCCTCCCAAGTAGCTGGGATTACAGGCACCCACCACCACACCCAGCTAACTTTTGTATTTTTAGTAGAGATGGGGTTTCACTATTTTTGCCAGGCTGGTCTTGAACTATCTGCCCACCTTGGCCTCCCAAAGTGCTGTGATTACAGGTGTGAGCTGCCACACCTGGCCAATCTCAATAATTTTAAATAGACACTTTTGACTTTATCTTGATCTGTTGGTTATTTGCATGTCCATAGAGGCATTTTCCATATCTGTTCCTCCATTCAAATGTTAGGTGGCATTATGGTTTTTAATGTCATTCTCTGGTTCCTCCCATATTCCACCAAGGTCTCAAACAAGAGTATTCTTGGATCCTGAGATGGAAAACACTTAGGATAACCTTTCTTTAGCCTATTCAAGTAGGCACTTCTCACGCTTCACCATCAGTGCTCAGTAATATGTAGCGGCCCTTTGAATGGCAGCTCCATACCGCCAATTGTTCTGTCAGCCCTTTTGCATAGTTCTCAGCTCCTCCCACCCCCAGAGTAGTTCCATATTAGAAGTTAAATTGAGGAACTGTCAAATTACTTAACTACTTCCTGCTGGCCTGCAGGCTGTCTGGAGGTGAGACTGTCCCTTGGCTTTCTTCGTCTTTTCCAGATTTTTATTGCACAGCTTCTTTCCTGTTGTGCCTTCTACTCTACCTCCCTTTTCTATTCCCCATTTACCAGTTTCTTATTTTAAAGATTATTCTCAATAAGAATGACCTCAGTTTACATATACTGGAATCAAGATTCTCTCAGTTGCCAGAAAGATGCAGAGGAATAAGTCTGTCTCGTCTCGAGCCTTGTGAGATAGGAACTCTTTTTGTTTGTTTATTTTTTGTTTTTGAGATGGAGTTTTGCTCTTTTTGCTCAGGGTGGAGTGCAGTGGTGCGATCTTGGCTCACTGCAATGTCCGCCTCCCGGGTTCAAGCGATTCTCCTGCCTCAGCCTCCTGAGTAGCTGGGATTACAGGCGCCTACCACCACGCCCAGCTAATTTTTGTATTTTTAGTAGAGACGGGGTTTCACCATGTTGGCCAGGACGGTCTCGATCTCTTGACCTCGTGATCTGCCCACCTCAGCCTCCCAAAGTGCTGGGATTACAGGCGTGAGCCACCGTGCCCGGCCAAGACAGGAACTCTTGTTGGGAGGGTCCGGTGGTGGGTCCAATGGCAGCCCTGGGGGCCTCCGTCCTTCAGGCTAAGCACCACAGTGTCTTCACTCCTTGCTTCTGGTTTGTGTTAAATATATATTTTTAGTGGTAAAATCAGAGTTATTTTGTAATCAGCCAGCAATATCTTTAGGTCAGCCCTAACCAATTTTATCTTTTCTACTTTCCCCCCTTTAAACGTTGTAAGGGGAAATGCCCATATGTTTTATATCCTGTTCTGCACATTAAGAAAGTTGTGGGGCTGGGAACACAGTTACTTGGGAGAGAGCAAGGTGAAATTCTGGGTACGCTTTTGGCTTCACCCCAGACCCCATCCTGCCTCTGAATGGTGGGACCAGGACATGGAGGAGGCAGCCAACGGCCATGCACCTGCTGAGTGTGTGTCCTGTTGTCTGAGCTCTTCTTTTGGAACAATTTGAAGCGAGGTTTTCGTGTCTGGGTTACGGTCATGGAACTCTCTTGTTGAGTTGGGTGACCCTGGACTTTCAGCTCCTTTTTCCTTTTTCTTTGGAGCTGGAAAGGTATCATGTGGGCTGGAGAAAATAAAAAGAAAATTCATTAATTTGAAATACTGTGGAGAATTTGTTCTCTCTATATTATATAACTCTATTTCTATCTTATCTTTCTAGACTGCTTTCTAATTTGGTGTCTACGTGGGACATATTATTTCAGTGTTTCATATACAGTGGAAGCTTACTATATATTTGTTAAAAAGAGAAATAAAGATAGAACAGACAAATGCAGTCTAGCTAGGGCGATGGTATAACAGGAGCATTGTGATGGGCATTTGGACATGTAGGTTCCAATCTCATCCTTATCATAACTACCTCTGTGATTTTATCAAATTATTTAAACTAAGCTTCTCTTTTCTGTTCTGTAAATGAGAAAGTTGTTAAATGATGTCTAGGTGTTTGCCCTTCAAATTACGACTATTTTTTTCAATAGTTACTTATCAGATACATGTCAGGCACTGTTAGGAGAGCTAGAAATATGATGGACAACCAGCCACAGTCCCCGCTCTCGTTGATGTTGCTTTATACTTGGGTGTGAGCTGTCTTCTCTCCCCCACTGGGTAGCAGAAATAGTAACTCGAAGGACAGTCTTGGATTTGTGTCTGATTTGGGCCAGGCCACTACAAAACCTTTAAATGCTTTATTTTCCTATCTGTAAAGTGAAGATAGTCATATCTAACCTAGTTTACCTTATATAGTTGACTAAAATAAAATAATGTATGTGGAAATACATTTAAATATACTAATAGTAGTAGTGTAAAGTACAGCATGTAGTAGTGTCTGTAGAAATGTGAAATATTTTATTTTGCTGTGAAATTTACCATATAATTCACTAAAGCTTGGATGGGAAAAATCCTACATTAACTTAAACTTGGAGTTTGGAAATTGTTTAAAAATTTAAAGTATATTTGTTTTTCTTCTTTTTACAGAGAAAGATAATGCTAAATATGTTTTTAGACACGATGATGGCTGACCCTCCTCCCCAGTGCCTTGTCTGGCTACCTCTCATGCACAGGCTTGCCCATGTTGAGAATGGTAAGCAGAACTTTTATTGTTCAATTCCTCATGCTGTAGAAAGTATAGGAACTGATTATTTGCAATGTCCTTAGCTATTAATATCATTGAAAATTACAGTTGACATTTGCTCTCACTCTGTCATTTGATTTTGTGGTTTTGGCTTTCAGAAGAATATTTCTTTCAAAAAAGGGAGGATACTTACTACTTTTTTTTTTTTTTTTTTTTTTGAGACAGAGTCTCACTCTGTTGCCCCGGCTGGAGTGCTGTGGTACAATCCTGGCTCACTGCAACCTCTGCCTCCCGGGTTCAAGCGATTCTCTCATCCCAGCTACTTGGGGGGAGGCTGAGGCAGGAGAATTGCTTGAACC